AAACAAGCCGGTTCTAGCGCATATAGGGGATGAGGCAAGTCACAGTCGACTAACGAAGCCCCGTACGGTTGAAGATTAAAACGTTTTTTGCCGCACGTCTAAAAGGCAAGGTGCCTGGTGGTAATGGTGATGGCCAAAAGTCCCACGGATAAAAATCCGGTCAGCTGGGACAAAATTACTTTACGGCTTTTTACGGCAGAAAACGTTATTTACGACGGTAATGCACTGAGCAGTTTGGATGACAGGAGGAGAATAAGGACAGGTCAAGTCAAATCACGTGGATTTATCACCCGCATGTGCACTGAATGGCAGAGCTACAAATTAACATATTTATGACTTATTGTCTGTTTTACTATTTAAATACATTTCGGTTTCAGAAATAAAGTTCGTTTTAATTTTTGACTGATTGTTTATTGTCAACATGGGAAAGAACCAATTGTTACTGTGATCGACCTTGGTCCATTCGTATTCTTCACAAAGAACCATATGCGCAGAGCAGTCATGCACATTTGCCATGAAAGGTTTCTGATGCAGCAATATCAACGCGCTGTTCATTGATGACACTCAAAAACGCAGTTTTGCAGTTGATTCCTTGTCATATTCTTTTCCCTTAGGTTGTGGTCTATTTAGACCAGGGGCACAGACGACGACAACTCTGGGATGACTTAATCATCGTGAAAGTGACCTTTTGCAATTATTTCAATAACTGTAATAATTCGATAATTCGACATCACATCGACACTGTTTCAAGCAAGTAGACAAGCAACTGCGAAAGTACTGGGTGGAACAACATGGTTGTACTGTCGATTAAGGGTTAGATTCACAATCAAAAGATCTGGAGTTCGAATCTTATGTAGGTAACTCATATTTATCCGTCTGAGTTTGATCTGTCAGTACCTTTCTGTAGGAAGGAAACAAGAAACTAAACGCTCTTGTGGTTGCCTAGTTTCAACATAGTCTTTGAAAAAATCAAGAAACCTTTCGACTGATGACACAGCAGCGAAATTTAGCGCAGCACTGTAAGTTCCGTTAAAAAAAATGCCACATATGGAACTCAGTCATGATGGCGAAGAGAAACTGGTATTCCAGGGGTCATGATCCCTCTTCCTTCCTTATCCTTGCAACAAGGAGGTAATGGGTCAAGGTTAGCGCTTTGTGGCAGGTCGTTTCACGAATAAAAACAAATCACTTTACGATGTGAGGGTTTAACAACAAACGGAAATGCAAACGGTCAAGATTTACTTCAACGTGTATTTCTGGGAAATGAAACATCACAGCGTCTCTCTTGTTCGCAGATGATTTGCCATTTAACGTTTATCATTAATTGTGAATTGCAAAATGACAAAGATGTATGTTAACAGAGACATATTGATAATCTCACTGTCTAAGAAGGACCATAATCTATCAGAAGGGTTAATTCCTCAAACAAACTGCAAAAAGAAATGTTCTATGCAAGTAAAGAATCTTCAACTGAAAATGTTCGAAGTTCTTTACAGAATTCATAGAAAAAATTTATTCGTCACAGGTCTGACATTCGACTGTTGCTACGTTTATCCTTAGCCGTGTCGACCACTGATGGAAATCCTGATTCTGTGACGACGAGCGAGGCCAATTCAGTCGTAATATCAGACTTGTAAGTAAAACTTTTCCAAGTTTTTGGGCTGCCGAAATTGAATTATCGCACTTTGGATATGGCCTCAGAGGGAATACTTGTATATTCTTCTTTCCATCTCCATTTGCACTCCAATTTCTGGTTTATTTTCCTCAGCGTTTGTGGCAGACCAGCACCAAGGGTCATAAATCATGACGAATATGCGGCGGAGTCTATAGTTCTTTCTTTGTTGACATGGAGAGACTGTTGTACGGCAACTCTGTTCATACGTGATTGAAACTTGCCTATGTCATCTTCCTTCTTCTGCATATCTCGATGTTGATTTTGCAATTGGAGTCTATTAGGCGGCCAATGCATATGTAGTTGGCAACTTTTGCCATTTCTTCGTTATCACTGAAAATGGCAACCAGTGCTCTTTGCGCGTTCATTTAGTGTTGGAGATGCTCACCTCCAGACCGATGGCACGCTCCTCCTTCTGCAATTGCATAGTCTTTGTTTGGAGGTCTGCCAGGTGTTTGGCGATGATAATGACGTCGTTTACAAGGAGCAGACGGGTGAGCCGTTCTGCAACGATGGCAATGAAGCCGCAACAATTCAGACGATTAAAGACGGGATTTCAGCACCGTCGTGGAGAACATAGGAGAGATGGTAGATCCTTAGCGTACTCCTTTATTGATGCTGATTCGACACGGTTCAGCGAACAGCTTAATGTCCGTACTGTCATTATTCATTTACCTGATCAGATCGACGCAGTCAGGGTTGATGCAGCAGTCATGCAGAGAGTCCAGCTCGATGGAATCGAATGCTTTTCTGAAGCCTATGAAATCGTAGCAGTGGAGTAATCGGTACTCTTTGTACGCTCCTAATTGCTACACGATGTGGATGTGTTCGATAGTGCGGCTCCATGCTTGGAAACCGGCTTGTTCCTAACTAGCGAGCAATTCCAGGTCTTTCCAGATAAGATTGAGGATGATTTGAGCAAGAACCTTATGGACTTTGACAAGAGAGTGATGGATCGATAGTTTTGGAGGTCTTCAGCCTCACCCGTGTTGAATAGAAGAATCCTCCACTTTTCCATACTTCTGGCGTCTCCTTCAGTCTTATGTACTCTGTATAAGAATCGGCAAGGGCCTTGAACAGGATCATTCCTTCTGACATGAGATGCTCCAATTCTGTGCCTTCCCTGTCAGAACATTTGCCACTCTTGCCACTGTTGATTGTTCCCTCTACTTCGTTGCAAGTGATACTGGGAAGGGTTTTCGGGGCAACGTGTGGCCGTTTCCGATTTACTTCTATCTTCGAGGAGTAGAGCTTCTCAGAGAACCTCATAAAGATCATTACCACGCCAGAGCGATCTATGGTTTTTGTCATTCGAATAAACGACACATGGATTCGAATTCATCACATGGAATAAAGATAAGTAGATGAGTGATTTGTTTAAACTCATCTCTCCGTAGAAAATTAAAAGGAATGCTCATATTTCTGACTATTTAAGCGAAGTCGTGATAAAATTCAAAAATACTGTCTTAATTGTTTGAAGACCTCTCGCAAACCAGAAAAGTTAAGAAAAGGAAAATTGCCCTTCAATTTTTAGCATTGAAATTACGAGTTTGAAGTGTTGCGTGGCATCAGTCTTTCTTATTAACTGGTAATTTAAACGAACAGAGAATCCATCAAAATATGCTTCAAGCAACTAGCTGAGAAACGGGAAGCATGTCGTTGAGATCTGTGAAAAATAGGGAAAGTCGCATGTTCTGATGTGGTAATGCCATCAAAACATGAGGGACGTAAGACCATGCAATAAGGTACTGATCCTGCAA